GTAATAAATCATATATTAGGGCCTGCGAGATGGAAATATGCATTAGCGTATATCGATGATGTAATTATTTTTTCGAAAACATTTGAAGAACATTTAATACACCTTAATGATATTTGTACAATATTAAAAAATGCTCGATTTCGTCTGAATCCAGACAAATGTGAAATTGCTCAAACTGAAACAGATTATCTTGGACATAATATAAAGAATGGTGAAATTCGTCCAAGTTCTCATAATATTAATGGTTTATTAAATACCAGATTACCACAAACTGCAGATGAAGCTTGTAAATTTGTTAAAGCAGCTGAATATTATCGCAAATTTATTCCCAATTTTTCTCAAATCGCTGAACCACTTAGGAAATTCGTTCCAACTACAAGAACTCAACAAAAGAAAGGACAAAAAACAATGATTACATTAACACAAGATGAACTTAAAGCATTCGAACAACTTAAACATTTTCTTACAACTGACTTAGTGTTACGATTACCGAACAATAGATTCCCTTTCAAGGTCCAAACAGATGCTTCGGATGAGGGAATCAGTGCAGTATTATTACAAATATATCCAGATGGTGATAGACCAATTGCATATCTTTCGAAGAAATTTACACAAGCACAACGCAAATGGTCTCCAATGGAACAAGAATGTTACGCATTTATATGTGCATTAGATAAATGGCATAATTATTTAAGTGGAATTCAATTTACTTGGGAAACTGATCACAAAGCATTAACACAATTAAACCAAAAAGCTCAAATTAACAAACGATGCGAGAGATGGAGATTAAAAATTTTAGAATATGATTTCAAGGTGAAATACATTCCAGGCTTAACAAATTCTATGCCCGATTATTTATCAAGATCTCCTGTTGAAGATGCTGAAGAAGATCCTGATGAAACCACACACCTTCATTCCAAATCAACACAAACTGATATTTTATATGATAACCAACATTCATCCATCATCGCAGCTGTTGAAACTCGTGCTATGAAATTACAAAATAACACTTTAAATGAACTTTCAAATACAACAAAATTAATATCAGATTCTCTACATAATTCTATTGAAGAGAATCGCACCACTCCATTTTCAATTGAAGAATTAATTCAAGCTCAACAAAATGATGCTTATGCAAAAAATATTTTTAATAATATCAAGAAATACAAACATTATATTATAAAAGACAATATCTTAATGCGTCGACTTAAAACTCCAGTTCCATATGTACCACAAGGTGATTTTCGACGAACAATTTTACAAATATATCATGATACAGCAGCCAATGGTGCTCACTTTGGAAGAAATAAAACAATACATAAAATTAAACAACGTTATTTTTGGCCATTAATGTACAAGGATATTAATAATTATATCAAATCATGTATCCCATGTGCACAATTTAATCCTCGTCGACAAAAAACTCCGGGTACTTTACAACCAATACAACCACCTGATGGAGTATGGCAATTAGTATCTATGGATTTTCATGGACCTATTACACCAATATCTCAACGCGGCAATAAATATATCATATCTCTTACCGATGTTTTATCCAAATTCGTTGTTACCAAAGCTGTACGTGATAATACAGCTCAAACAGCTGTTAGATTTCTTAAAGAAGACGTTATCGCAAAATTTGGAACACCTCGATGTCTTCTTACTGACAATGGAACACATTTTACATCAACATTAATGAATGAATTATGTAAACAAATTGGTGTCACACACTTGTATTCAACACCATACCATCCTCAAACTAATGGTCAAGTTGAAAGATATAATTCAACTATGGACGCAAAAATTGCAGCATTATCAAATTTTAAGAAAACTGATTGGGATGATCAATTACCATTTGTTACATTTAATTATAATGCTACAATTCATTCAACTACAAAACAAATACCATTCCAAATGATGTACGGACGATTACCAACATTACCCTTCGATTATCAAGCCGATAACGTCACATTATCATATGATGCTGAACATACCATCAAACTCAAAAATTTTTTGTCAAAATTAAATGAACAAGCCAAATTAAATATTCTAAGGAATCAAGCTCGATACAAACAACATTATGATATTCATCGTTCTGATCCCTCATATAATATTGGTGATTTAGTTCTTGTTAAAACACTAAACACCCGTCACAAATTCGATATTCGTTATGAAGGACCCTTTAGAATTATCAAACAATTGACACGAAAAACATTCATTCTTCAACACGTCAAGAAACCAACTTTACATCGTCAAGTTACATCAGACGTGTTATTACCAATATTTGAACGTATTTATTAGATTTTAAGGACCTCTTCAATGAGATCCGTACCATAATTATATCTCAACATTAAAATGGAATTATTAATTCGGATTAAATTTATACAATTAATTATCCTATGATACGAAACTTATTTATTGAATGTATTTAACATTCAATCAATCTTCATAGATCCTCTTTATGGGCCCTGAGAATCGAGAAGAACTTTTTTCGTACATCAATTCTATTGAGATATAAAATAACTACATCTATTATATATATATAATTCATCATTATTTTTATTTGTCCTGAAATTATTATATTTGTGAAAAAATTATATCACTTATTTTCACTGATTCTTTTCCCTTTGAGAATCGAATTTTTTACACCTTAGATTCATTTTTTAATGAATCGCTATTTAATATAATTACAATTTAACTTTCTATTCTAGTCATGTTATCACAACGAGAGTACGAAAAGCTTAAATGGCAATTAAAGAATATTCCATCAACAATTAAAGGACGTCCACGACAAAATCTTCGAACAACACTCCGAAAAAAAATACACGAACATGAATTAGCATCAACATATCCAACATTTACACCACTAAATTTCCAACAATTTTTTATAAATTTTCAAACAACTGATTTAACACTTCTTCATCTTATTGAAGCTTGTGCAGCTTCAACAAATTTTATTTTGGATACAGAATCAGTTGGTATTTATCAAGGTCCAAACAAACCCGCACTTATTCAGATTCAAATCATATTACCAACTTCGATTTCTTATGTATTGATCATTGAAGTTTGTCATTTACCACCTATCCATGAAACAACATTCCAACTTATTAAACAATTTTTTACAACATTGTTTTCTTCAGGAAAAACAATTTATATTTGGGGAGAAATTGATGAATTAAATGATTTTACTACAACTGGACTATTTACTCTTGATCAAATTAAACTATCAAATAATAACAATTTTCAAGATGAATTTAAAGATTATTGGATCAAGAAACATCCTCATCAAACACGATCTCAACGTTCAACAAATGAATTACCATGTCAATGTGAATCATGCTTAGGCATTAATCCAACTGATACATGGTCTTTACAAAATGCCGTCGCATATGAACTTCATCAATGGTTAGATAAACGTTTTACTCGTTCAAGTTTTGATATCGGTCTTGATCCACAATTATATCATTTTAATACGAATGAAATCGAACATCGTACACAACTTACTCGTTACGCTATATATGATTGTTTATCAATTTATCAATTATTACTTAAATTGAACTTAATCAACAATCCACAACAATCAACAGTTACATTAATTACATCAATTGAAGAAAATATAATTGAACAACAACCAACAATCATTGATGCTGAACAGATTTCATCAGATGAATCAGAACCTGAACGTGAACCTCAACAATACAACTTATTATCGGAAGAAGAACGTAAACGAATACACAATCGTTCATGTACACTGAAACAAAGAAAACGTTATTATCAAAATACAGTTATAATTAATAATATTGACCGTCGTTTTAAAATCAAACAAATAAAAGCTATTATTCGATCTTACGACGTTCCATTCTTTGCCGTTAATTTTTCAACATCATCGACAACAAGACAACGATCATTACACATCGGCATACGAGATTTATCACAAATTGATCATTATCACAATCGTATAAAACATTTATTTACAACATCTCATTTTTATGAATTTATATCTAGTCAACGAAATAGATCATCTTATAAAGATGATCGAACAAGGAGATCGAAATGATATATAAACAAAACACAAAAAATCAATAAATAAATCAACAACTAACCTCAATCTTATATTTTTGTTTCGCTTTTGTTTTGTTCAGATACTAAACTATCATTTTGTCTTTCATTGTTCCTTATCTTTACATATCATACCCTTTTTTTGATCTCATTAAAAAACTGTGATTTTTTGTTCTATTGTTTTCTTTTCATTTTTGAAAAAAAGCGTTAAATTACTTTGTCATTATTTCATATATAACATTTCGTTCATTTCGTTATATTAGTCATGTTGTTACTGTTTAAAAAAAAAAAAAAAAATGATAGTACACCTTTTTCGTTCAATGGGGAGAATGTTACGGTGATGTCGCACCTATACATATTTCTCTAGTATATTCCTC